TAACAAGCCTATTGACCCGTGCTATGCACGGCCAAAGTCTACGGATGTGGATTGATGGAAATAATTATTCTAGAAGCATACTTGATATGTTGATAATTGTGAGTAGAAATCTTTGCACAAATGACTTATTCAAAAGTTTAGTTACTATCTCTATTTTTCATGGTCAACCATCACTTCCTTCACGTCAACAATCACTTTTTTTCATATCTAATAATTACCTCTTTTTATGATAACAAACTATTTCAGCCGAATATGTTTTCACTTTTCATTGGAGAATCCTTCATAGGCAGCGATAAGCAATTTGATTTTTGAAATTTCATTATGCTTTGGCCGTTCATGCACCATACACATTTGAAAAGACACTTAGGTTGGATTAAAGAAAGAGTCGTTGTAGCAAATTAACAAGCCTGTTGACCCGTGCTATGCACGGCCAAAGTCTATCGATGTGGATTGATGGAAATAAGTATTCTAGAAGCATACTTGATATGTTGATAATTGTGAGTAGAAATTTTTGCACAAATGACTTATTCAAAAGTTTAGTTACTATCTCCATTTTTTATGATTAACCATCACTTCATTCATGTTAACAATCACTTCTTTTCATATCCAATAATCACCTCTTTTCATGATAACAAACTATTTCAACCGAATATGTTTTCATTTTTCATTGGAGAATCTTTCATAGGCAACGATAAGCAATTTGATCGTTGAAATTTCATTCTGCTTTGGCCGTTCATGCACCATACACATTTGAAAAGACACTTGGGTTGGATTAAAGAAAGAGTCGCTTTAGCAAATTAACAAGCCTGTTGACCTGTGCTATGCATGGCCAAAGTCTATGGATGTGGATTGATGGAAATAATTATTCTAGAAGTATATTTGATATGTTGATAATTATGAGTAGAAATTTTTGCATAAATGACTTATTTAAAAGTTTAGTTAAATATCTGCAGAGTGAATTTTTTTCAAACCAACATTAATTTTAATTTTTTTTGTTTGTTATTAGAACACGTATGTCATAGAAGAGCAAGAGGATATTGAATGACAGCTTTTGTAATTAGCAATTTTTGTCAGAAATGTTGGGATAAAAATCCAAGATCTATGTGGTATTTTTTTTCTTCTTTTTGCGCAACTTCTATGGTCTAGCCTTAAGAAAGTAACTCTTTATGAACTCCTTAAAAAGGCAAATATAATATGTATGCAAAATCTGACTCGAGATATCACCTAATACAAATAAATGAAAATTTTTAGATAATTTAGGCGTAAATAACATGTACATTCAATTGATTTAGCCGCTTGACTTCTTTTTTTTTTTTTGGCTGAAGCCGCTTGACTTCTTGATAGGTCACTTTTTTTTATAGCTTCTTATAAATGAATCAACAATCCACATGAGATTGGAACAAAAATAATGTATAGTCGATCTTTGTACGCATGTATTGCCATTTTGCAAATTCAACATATTGCCTAACTCTCACTGTCTTTTCTTTGTAAATAATGTTGAAGTTATAAGCAAATGGGCATTTTTTCTTTCAAAATGGGACAAAAATGGTCATACATCCACAAGGCACAACTTAGGTTGAATTGTCATGTATGCCGTAATGGATCGTTCATGTGCAATCATAACTGCATATTTGGCCCACTAAAGTGGCATCTCATATCTTTTCCACATAAAGACCAAAATTGAGAGACCCACGAATCGACTTTTCCACATCCTTCAAATTGACGCACATGAGTCATTCTATGGTTCTTAGGAATATTCCTAATCATTAAATCATAAAAAGAAAATATCATAATCTCAATTGACAATACATGATTACGATGGATTACGAACGAGTATAAATCTCTCAGAAACTATAGAAGCTCCAACGTACGATGAACACGCCACAATAGAAATATAGGGCCAATAGATGGCCTTAGGTTAGAATTAGCAATAATGTTTCCCATTTACCCATTGCAAACGCTGCATTGGAATTATAGAGATGGCCCTTCGTATATTTCAAAATAAGTAGAATGCACGTATTGATTTTGGTCATGGATAAATGAATGTTTTGCAACGAATGGAGCATAATACTCCAAGAGTCCCTCTTAGTGCACAATCTAAAACTATCACACGACGCTTTGAGTAGATTTCCGAGAGACGTAACTTGAATTGGTCAATTGATTATCAATCAGTGAAGGAACAACTTGGAAGATGAATGGTGTTCCGAATGCAATCCCCCACACCCATTCTAGTCCTCCTCTAGACGGTCTTGACAACAGGCACGAGTAAGTAAAATCCTGAATGCACCATGTCAATATTGGTGAGGGATAATGATGCTCTATCTACACAATATCTCATTTGGTGTCGTAACAAATCTCAACTGGTGATCATTACACAAAACTAGTCAAGTTGCATCGTCTAAATTATATGTGCTCCCAACGGAGTCGTCATGCAAAAGGCCTTTAATAACATCTCAAACAGAGGAATAAATACCAAATTGCAGATGTTGTTCCTTTGCAAGTAGGGCCACAGCCTCTGTGCAACCATCTGCTTCTCTGAATATGTGCACAATTTTGTATTCCTACAGCTCTATGAGCAAGTTCCTGCATTCAGCTAGATGCGACTGGGCAAGGCTCGACCTCGCCAGATTAGGTGAAGTCGAGCCTCGCCAGAGGAAGGCAAAAGGGAAGAAAAAAAAAGAAAGAAAAGAAAAGAAAAATTGAAAAAATATTAAAATATTATTAAAAGTTAACCACGTCAGTGTTAGCGGTGCCACGTAGGCTGCCCGGCGTCCACATCGGTAATATCCGGCTAAAATTAGCCAGAAGGATTGAATTGGCATTATATTAAAAGGTTTATGACTGAATTGACATCAAAAAAAGGTTTATAACTAAATTGGCATCAATGCAATAGTTTTATGACTTTTTTGACACTTTTTCCTATGTTTTTCGTAAAACATTAATATTCATTCAAACAATGTGTCTTTCAATATACTTCTAAACGAATAGTGTCTTTCACGTTCAAATTAAGATTTGATTTATCTATTTGTACTTTCTCATAAAATCAAAATTTACGAAATGTGCATGTAACCTTAATTCTTTCTACTAAAAATTTTTTCTATGGTTACAAAAAAAGAAACCTTTGATTCATAGATTCAAGACATTTTTTCATGATTCATAGATTCAAGACATTTTTTCACATTTAACTTAATTTAAATTGAGGACACCCATTCACGTTGCCTCCTTCAATATATTTAACTTCTCAATTTCCATCGCACTTTTGCACCAATGATCTGTTTATTCTTCATAGTAGATAACTCTCTTTGTTTCTCTCTCATTCGTGCGCATGCGCACATACAATTTTTTTTTTCTTCCATGCTTTATTTTTATCTAAAAATTGGAGCAGTACTTACTGTAATGTTTTTATTTGATGATTTCGAGTGCAAGTCAATCTATTTCAATAGTATCATATTATCTTTCATCATTGTCATTTCAATCGTGTTGATATTTTTTTCCGATTTGTTTATTTTAAAACGAGTGTATCTCATTTCATACTGAAAAAAAAAAATCGTTGAAGCCGTGAAAAATTTGGTAGATAACTAATTCTTGCATTATTTTTTTATTTTCATGAGAAAACATTAGTTTCCAACTTTTTCATAGAGTTCTTCTTTTAAATAACATAAACATTGTTAATTTATTAACGCTGAAATTCAAATAAATAATCTTCCCTATGCTCAAGAAAATTTGATGTTTATGCAGTTTTAAAAAAACAAAATGTGTGGTCTTAATGCGTGCACGCACGGTACGTTTTACTAGTTTCTCAAACTATATGTTAAATATTGATATATCCCTTCTTTTTGCCATAAAACACCGAACTATCTTACTCGATTTTCCTTGTTATTCAAATTGATTCGATAAAAACACTAGATTTTTTTTAAACTTATCCTGCTAAACTTAGGACTTACAACGTAAATTAACACTTAAACTCATCTATTAATACCCTTAAACTAGTGGCAATCTTAAAATTATCCCAATCCCTGTGCTTAGGTTAGTTCAACTGGTTTGCCACAATGAAGAAAATTCATTGTTGGGTTTTGTCAGGTTTTGGTTTTTTTTTTTCTTCTTTTCTACGCGAAAAAGACGGGAGGTGTCATTTCACCGGTAAGTGGACCATGCCAATAATACTGGGCAATGAATGGCGAAGCACGGCACAAGAAAATACACCTTTTGACAGATGATGCCTTTATCCTGCTTGGACTCTCGACTCTCCCTGCCATTTTTGAGAAAATACTGTATGGTCTTTGGACAGGTAAATGGGCTCCACAGTAAATTCTAATTGAGATGAAATATGTAAAACGATTTTAATTTGTTACTCAACCTGTACACAAATCGTGTCAGATGCATGATAGCGCACGTGATATAATTAAGATAGAAACTTCACTAATCAAAAATCAATATGAAACAATGAATGAGAAAATGAGTCTTAAACTTGATGAATCCCAAAACAAAATGACTTTTTTGGTGATAATTTCAAGTGGTGTTGGGAGAGAACAGATGTATAAGTGAGTTTACAATTAAAGAGACACGGGCCCACTTATAAAAATGGGCTTATTGATTGAAGTCCGCACAAGTAACTCATATGGATGAACAAACATCATTGAACAACCTCTGTACTTGAAATTACACCTTGAAGCTGTGAGTCAAAATCAAACGACATGAACAATTTTACATGGGAGCTTGTTGCCAATTTCCAATATGTCACCAAAAGAAACGAATGGATACTATATCGAAAGTATGACAGAGAAATATAGATAAAAGGGGACAATGCCAAGCCGCTGCGCTCGTGCTCTAGATGATAAAACAAATGTATATAGGTCTAACATCGTGCAGTTTTCAAACCCATACAGAAGGCATACATAAAATCCATGAAAAGTATTGGGGTCAAGCACTTTGAATGGCCAAGTAGCAAGATATTTCCATTGACAGAACGAATTGTTGCTGCCTATAAAAAGCTTCTCCGTTGCACTCTCCCACGAAAACTCACTTCAGTAACCAAAAGAACAAAACACAAAAGCAGAAAAATATGGCAGCCTTATCATTATATCTGCTGCTTACTTGGATGTTCCTACTCTCTCTCTTTCGTACTAGGCTTGCTGAGGTATCATGTCATGCGGATGAGAGCTCTGCCTTAATGGAATTCAAGAGAAGTTTCAGAACCAACACGACAGATTCGCGATGCGTTTATCCAAAGGTCCACTCTTGGTCTCTGGATGGAAGTGGAGATTGTTGTTCGTGGGATGGCATCGAATGTGATGAGGTCACCGGCCGAGTGATTGCCCTCAACCTCAGTAGCAGTTGTCTCTCGGGCACCATGAGTCCCAACACCACTCTCTTTCGACTCATTCACGTGGAGTCACTCAATCTTGCTTACAACAGCTTCAACTTATCCCCAATCCCGTACGGCTTCAGCAATCTTTCGAGGTTACAATACCTTAATCTCTCCCACTCGGATTTTTCCGGTGAAATCCCTCACGATATCTCGCAGCTATCCCGGTTAGTTTCTCTCGATTTGTCCGCTTCTTGGGACGTGACACTTCATTTGCCCAACATGGGCGACCTTGTTCATAATTTGACTGGGCTAAAAGAACTCCATCTTTCTTCCGTAAGCTTGTCATCCCCTATCCCTCCTGTGCTAGCGAATTTCTCTTCCTTGACATCGCTTAGGCTTCGATTTTGTGGATTGAATGGAGACTTTCCGGTCAGCATTTTTCAGCTGCCAAACTTGGAAGTCCTTGACATTGCTGGCAATTCCAACCTTTCTGGTTTTTTTCCCAAATTGCATTGGGGTTCTCCATTGAAATCGTTATACCTTTCCCAGACCGATTTCTCAGGAGAAATACCCGCTTCGATTGGAAATCTTAGTCTCTTGAATGAGTTAGACGCCTGGGGGTGCCATTTTTCGGGATCACTTCCCTCTTCAATGGGTAATCTTTCTCATCTCACTAGACTAGTCCTTTACGGAAATAACTTGCAAGGTCAAATCCCTGTTTCCTTTGCTGATCTTACCCAGCTATGGTGGCTAGACCTCTCTTCCAATAACTTGAGTGGTGATACTTTGGAGTGGGTGGTCAACTTGACAAAACTTGACCACTTGGACATTTCAGGTAATAATTTCTTCCTCTCTGCCGGTTCGATCGGATCTCCTTCCTTCTCTCTCTGCAGCTCCATGGAACCACCGACCTCTCGAGCTCCACGCCGCTCGCTCCCTCCCCGACCACCACCAAAACCCCCGCCGCGACGGCCACAAGCAAAACCAGAGACAGGGACTTCCTCCTCCACCTCAAGGCCTACCTCGCCAAGCGAGACGCCACGAAGATCATCCTCTCCTCCTCCCTCCTGCCCGAAACCCTACCCCCTCCATCAATGGCCGCCACTTGCGTGTTCTGTCGAAGATCAGCGCGTGGGCGGAGTTCGTCGGGTACATTGGGAGCGTGAATCTGAAAATTAGGGATTTGAGGAGGTTGCGGGAGGACGAGACGTGCGTCGAGTAGAGCATCGAGATCGCGACTTCGCGGGGGATCAATTGCGAGGAGGAAGAGTGGAAGTTGAGGAAGTTGTGGGAGAAGAAGTTGATGAAGAAGAAGCCGTCCGTGGTTCAGGACCTGGCCGAACTTGCCAAGCCGGAAGGCCTTCCGGCTCAGGCCTGTCGCTGGACTCGAAGCTCTTGAGGCGACGATGGTGGTTTTGCTCGTGGCCGTCGCGGCGAGGGTTTTGGTGGTGGTCGGGGAGGGAGGGAGCGGCGGTGGAGCACGAGAGATCGGTGGTTCCATGAAGTGGGGCAGAGAGAGAAGGAAAGAGATGCGACCTGAACCGGCAGAGAGGAGGAGAGGGAGAGAGACTTTTCCAAATTTTCTGAAGGTGGGACCCACAGTGCCACTTTTCGTCCACTGAGTGGGCTGGTGCATAGATGACGTGGCGTCACATTTGCTCCTAATATTCTCAATTGCGGTTAGTTAGTCCCATGGTGCAACTAACGCTCCTCTTGTCTTGTGTCTTTTTTTTCTTTCTGTTTGGTAGGTAATCGGCTAAGCGGTGGACTTCCATCTTCATTTGAGAACCTGAAGCAGTTGACTTTGCTCGACCTTTCTGACAACGACTTGCGCGGTGATATTCCGAGCACATTGTGGAATCTGAAGGATCTTGAAAGGCTTTACCTGGGATGGTTTAATCTCAATGCTGTTCTCGATGCAAATAATCTATTCAAACTCAAGAACTTGAGAGTTTTACATTTGTCCTTCAACAATATATCGTTCACCAAGTCATTCATCAACGCCACTACATCGAAGCTTACCGAATTATACTTGGATTCGTGCAACTTGACCGAGTTCCCACAGTTTATAGGCTACTTAAGTGAATTGGTGGAGTTAGACCTATCACACAACAGAATCCGAGGGACCATTCCTAGATGGATGTGGAACAATAGCAAAGAATCTCTCGAGTATATAGATCTTTCTGACAATCTTTTAACCGGCTTCGAAATCAACCAAACCGATCTTCCTTTGCCGAAATTGAAGTATCTTGACGTTAGTTCTAACTTGCTAGAAACAACCCTCCCTGTCCCACCACCCTCAGTCGCACAATACAACATCTCAAACAATTTCCTATATGGGGAAGTTCCAACATCCATTTGTGAAGAGAGCTCTCTTGCCGTCCTCGATTTGTTCAACAATAATCTGAATGGCACACTTCCTCCTTGTTTGGGTAGTATTGGTCCTTTGATTATATTGAATCTCGCGAGAAATAAATTCGCGGGAATGATTCCTCACATTTACCCAGATGATTGTTCATTGAGGATGATCGACCTAAGAGAAAATCGACTAAGAGGGATTGTTCCGAGATCTTTAGAAAATTGCGGAATGCTGGAGTATTTGAATCTCGGTTACAATCAAATTAATGATACATTCCCATTTTGGCTATCGAAATTGGCCTACCTAAAAGTTATTGACTTCCAGTCCAATATGTTCCATGGACCCATAGAAGATAATCTAAGCCAGCTTAACTTCACCAGTTTACACATCCTGGACCTATCCAACAACAGCTTCAATGGTGAACTTCCTTCCAAGCTGTTAAGGAGTTGCCACGCCATGAAGTTTATCGATGGTCAAGAAAAGTTGGCATATTTGAGTCTTTATAATTGGCTTAATATGTCTTATGTTTCATACGGCGAAAGTTTGACTTATGCGATGACATTAATGAGTAAGGGCATGAAAAGGGAATATGCGAAGATTTCGGATGTCCTCATGGCGATTGACTTCTCCAATAACAAGTTCGAAGGATTCATTCCCGAACTCATTGGAGATCTGAAGTCACTTCGTATGCTCAACCTTTCAAACAACTTCCTCAATGGTAGCATCCCTCCTTCCTTGGCCAGCCTGACAATGCTCGAATCACTGGATCTTTCCCTGAACAATCTCATAGGAGAGATTCCTCAACAACTAGCCAACCTCACATTTCTCGAGGTTTTTGATGTCTCTCACAATCGACTATCGGGACCGATACCACGTGGAACACAGTTCGACACATTCGGGAGCAATTCATTTGCAATGAATGAGGGGTTGTGTGGAGGTCCTCTGCCAAATAAATGCACAATTGGTGAAAGCACTGCACCACCACTATCGTCTTTCAAAGTAGATAATGAAGAAGAGTCTCTATTTGACTTGGATTGGAAAATCGTGCTGGCTGGCACTGGAGTTGGGTTTTTGGTTGGCGTTGTGCTAGGGAACTTGATCATTGACGAGAACAGTAGGTGGTTCTTGCACTACTCCATGAGAATGGCAAAAGGATGTAAAAGGTGAGATAAGCTCTAGCAGACAAGAAAATATGCAGCTAGGTACTTAATGCTCTGTATCTAAGTCGTTTGTTTAGTATAGTTATACGTGCATGTCTGAAGATTCTAATCTATGTTTGTTTGTAATGTTTCAGTAAATTAATATGAGATGTTGTTTTCTTGCTCATGAAAGCTAGTTCTTTAGGTTCATAGAGAACATCTCTGTCCATAGATACATCAGCAATGTCATAATGTTTTGTTGTAATATTACTAGCCAAATGACTCTCATGAATATAGAGAATTTGACCTAGGACCTGGTTTATCTATCCATTTTTTTGAAAGCCTGTAGATACTTTGATTTAGAGACATAATTGAGATAAGTGGATACTAATTAGAAGCCAATTATTAAATGTAAAATTGTTAGCTTAAAGAGCATATAATTTGATGAGTGATTTAGTTTAATGAGTGTAAATGTAAACACGAAATCTAACAAAATAACGATTTCTATGTAACTTTCGAAAACTGAATGTCACGCCCCGAACCCCTCGAAACGCAATCATCCCACGTACCGGTGTAATTTTGCTGCGACGTCCCAGGCCGCGTCGCTAACCCAACTCCCAACACAGAACATAAGGCACATGCGGAAGCGATAATTAAAACACCCGTACATAACAATACATAACCAAGGGTAGCAGGAACGTCGAACAATTCAAAGCCTAATAATCAAGACTCGCATTGAACTTCAAAACATATACAATGTCCACTATCTGCCAATACAAATCACCAAACAAAAACTGGTCGACGGCCACTACTAACAAAATCCCTAAGTGGCCAAGGGGGCAGTCTAAGGTAGGGTTATAATCAAAAGGGTTACTGGCCCGACCTAAGGGCGGCTAAGGCTGATCCTAGAAAACTTAATCGGGATCAGATCCTGATGTCTCGAACTCAGTCTCGATTATCTCGTCCTCTGAATCCATCTGCTCGACCTCGCCAACCTATTTGGGATCCTGCTCTATGGGCTCCGGATTCTCATATGGATCGGGTACACTAGGCAACCTCTATAAGGAGTCTGAAAAACGGGGTTTAAACAACTATGAGACGAATCTCAGTGAGTAGGCCTCCTACACCAAAACTAGGCTAACATGCACCTCCCGACAAGCAAATCAACACAACAACGAACAATAATGTCAATCAAATGACCTAGGCCCTTGAGCCCGGATCGCTTACCTTGTTGACCCTGCAGGTTAGGTATTTTGTATAAAACATGGCACATACGCGACACACTGGTCACACGTACGCCACACACATACTCATGCTCATGAACTGCCTCAAACAATGCACTCTGGCATGCGGCTCATTTTAGCAATTTTATAAATCGACCCGAAGGCCACGACCCGAAGGCCACGACCCAAAGGCCAATAAATATTCCAACCCGAAGGCCACGACCCGAAAGCCCACAACACTCCGCGGCCCGCGCCGAAGCACATATAGCCCAGTGTCTTTAGCCCACGTAAAACGCCTCAGGCGCAACACCGATCTCCTTAATCATCCGAACGAACCGGGCATCGTCCCGCATAAGCGCATCAGGACGGCACGACCCGAAGGCCTTAAGTGATCACACTGCCAATTTTATCTGAGCCCCACGTAAACGCATTTGGGCATTTAGGGTGATCGCACATGCTCATTCTCTGCACACAAAATGCGTAGCCATGCAAATTCCCGCACTCGGGCAATCACACGATGCATAATGAGCACCAATTTCAAATACGGGCATGCACTTCCATAATACCAACATATTCAATTGTGCCATAACATAATCAACTAGCATTTCATTGGCATGCCCAATTTCAATTAAACATAATTCAGCACGGCACCCAATTCACAACATTGGTGCACACAAAAACTTGCGCAATCAAGGCCCACTAATATCATATCAATCTTGGCCAACAAATATACACACGTGTCACCACACATTGGAACCCAATCAAGTACCAAATTGCCACTGAATCGCTTAATTCGGACCATTCATGGCAAGAATCCGACTAACCTCAACTTAGTCCATTTTAATCAAATTCGGATCCAAAGAGGATAGCCACTAATCAGTCCGAGAGAGAGAAAAACCGGAAATATACAAAATCGGGTCCAAACTGGGCAGTTGCACAGTGACAGAAATCCATTTGAAATAAATAGTAAATCAATTCCAAAAATTATGAAATTTGGATATGTTGTACAAAAAATCTTGATGAACATCTTCCGTGAAGAATTAGAAACCCAGTTCTAACCGTAAACACCTCGTTTTGATACTCAATGTCGGACAAAATCCGATTCGCTCGGACAGCCCCTCAGGCCATCAAAATATAACTTATTCAGTACCCAAATCATTTTGGAAAGCCTTGAAATTTTTTATATGTTATAGCCACAAATGTCCCCAACAATTTTTGTGAAGGAAGTATTTTGAAAATAAGCCTGGAAAAATTTATTTCGAACAGACCAGAAGGTCGGGTGAACAGTAAATCGGGCAGTTTTGTTTCGGTCCAAAGATGGACTTCCGAATGGCCTCAAATGATTTCAAAAAATTCCTAAATTAAATTATGTTATACTTAAAGATGTTGGGAACAACTTGCATGTAGAACACTTCTTCAGATTCGGCCCACAATGATCACAAAAAAATAACAAAGTACAGAGGTACAGTAAAATCAGTAATCCGAGAATCATTAAACTTGCACCATTAAGCAAATCCAGCTCATACACCCTCTAAACCAAGTCTCCACAGCCTTAAAACCATCCCTAAATCATCACCTTAAGCCCTTAAACTCACCACAATATCAACCCAAATCAGCCCCCACTAATTAACCCCTAAAACTTGTCCAAAGTACACATAATCCTAATTAAGGGTTAGGATTTCAACTCACCTATTTACGCTCTCCAAAATTCTAATCGACGGGAACGGGCGGCCGATTGCCGGTAAACGGCGAAATCGGCGGCGGCATTCCGGTGGCGAACGGCGGAGGTTCTGGCCGGTGAGGGTGGTGGCGGCGAACGGCGGTCCTCTCGCGCGCGACGGCGCTCCGGCGAGCGGCTCCTCCGGCGGTCGGCGGTCCAAGGCCGAACAAGGGGAAGAGAGGGAGGAGGAGGTTTCGGTGGGAGGGAGAGGAGAAAGGGGAAATGGCCGAATGAAGAGAGAGAGAGAGAGAGTCAATGGTCTTAAATGGGGTTTTGACCCACTTTTCTCTATTCCCAAACTACCCCTCTCTCACTTGGTCCATATTAGTCTAAGCCCAATAATTGAGGGGTATTCTTGTCCAATACATTTGGCCGATAATTATCCACATAATTTCCCCAAAATGATTTTCAATAATTATTCTCAAAATTCGGAATACCTAATTAGGCCTAGGGGCAAAATCGTAATTTTCCGATTTTAGGCCGAAGTTCCATTTTTCGACCGTACCAACCCCAAATATATGTGGCCACTCAAAAATGGCGTCGGCCACGAAAAAATAGTCACTTACGCCCTCGAAAATCGGTTTCAAAGTCTTGAGGGGCAAAATAGTAATTTTTCACTTCCGGGCCAAAATTCCATTTTTCGACCATACACACTCCAAATATACGTGACCACTCTAAAATGACGTCGACCTTGCAAAATAGTCGTATATACCCATAGAATTTTGACATCGAAGTTCGGGTCCAATTTGGCGATCAAAATTGCTCAATTCAGAATTTTAGAGCCTCTCACTGACGAGTGGCTGTTTAGGGGTTACGAATATCGACCTAGAGTCACTCGAGTCATGACGGATTCGATTACCGAGAGAACGCAAGGAATTATTAGTTATTCCAAGGGTCACGATCGTTCGGTTCAAGTTCGGGATTTGTTCGCCACTCGTACTCTCGGTCGAGCAGAATCACCCGCGATCCAATTGTGCATCGTTGGCCAAACCAAATCCGTCACTTTCCTAAGATCGGCCCACACTGGCCCAAAATACTTCCCTGTCGTTTCTCGGAATCAGTGCCCGATTCGCAATCGGGTCCCCGGTTCACGTACCATTTTCCTAATTAGCCTTTCCCATTGGTCAGTATCCCACGAGGGGCCAGCTCCGGGCGAGACGTACTAAAATCAGATGAGAAATAATATCCACTTCGTTGGATCCCGGAAATGGGTCGAAATTCTGGATATTACACTGAACATAATAAAAAGGATTATATTGGAATAAGTAGAGTAGTGAGCAGGGCCCGCGGAAGTCCCCGTCTCCCCCCTCGTCCAACGTCTGCAAAGTGCGGGGCAAGGTTGGTGATTAGAGCAATAAAAAACGGATTATATTCGTGCCAGTTCTTTTAATAAGAATGACAAAAAAATAAGTAAAAAGAGGAGAGATAAAAGGGTACCATTCGTACCAATTGATGACATGAGTGAGATAGATTGAATCTGAACTCACAAACTTGTATTTAGAAGTAGGAATTACTAAGGAAATAGTTAACGATCTATAAGAATTCAGAAAAGACATTTTCTTTCAATGTTGTTTGAAATTTCAAGTGTTATTTATGACATGAGTGATAGATTGAATCTGAACTCACAAACTTGTAAGGAATTATTGAGGCAATAGTTAATGATCTATAAGAACTCAGAAAAGACCTTTTCTTTCTATGGATTATCAATCCACATCAGATCCCTTCGACATTGGAAACAAGAGAAAAAAGGGTGCATCACAATCTACCATGGCCCCAATCATTCCAAGTTGTTATGAAAAGTGAAGGAAGTCACACGAATCTCACGTGCTTATACGACTCGTGTCATGAATCATGTATATTTGCCAAACATGTTGAGATCCTCGTATTTAGGAGTACCTGCAAGCGAATTACTTGAACAGCCTATCTCGAACATACGGTCATCATATATTTGTGCAAACAACGCGCTGTGACCTTAAAAAAAATCACGTCAGCATTTTTCGTTAGCCAAGTTAGACAGAGTTAACGGATTGACTCGATTGTACCAATTTGATAAGTTTTAGGACTTAATTGTACTTTAGTAAATTTTAAGACTCAATTGCACTTTCGTGACAAGTTTTAGGACTTTCTGTGCATTTATCCCATCATAATTCGATACCATTTATGTTTGTCTTCCAGTTGACTGTTCTGAATCCCAAGATCACAGCGAGGCTTACCCTTCAAAATAGCACAAGCCTCCACCTGCTTCCAAGCCGTTGAAGCTAAACTAGCCATGGTAAAGCAAGGAAACCAAGTCCATGCAATACATCGTAAATAAAAGAAAGAAAAAAGTAGAGAGTATTTGAATCTCGGTTACAATCAAATTAATGATACATTCCCATTTTGGCTATCGGAATTGGCCTACCTAAAAGTTATTGACTTGCAGTCCAATTTGTTCCATGGACCCATAGAAGATAATCTAAGCCAGCTTAACTTCACCAGTTTACACATCCTGGACCTATCCAACAACAGCTTCAGTGGTGAACTTCCTTCGAAGTTGTTGAAGAGTTGCCATGCCATGAAGGTCATTGTTGGTCAAGATAAGTTGGCATATTTGAGTCTTTCTAAATCGGTTGATCTATCTTCTGTTTCATTCGGTAAAATTATGACTTATGCAATGACATTAATGAGCAAGGGTACGGAAAGGGAATATGCGAAGATTCCGGATGTCCTCATGGCGATTGACTTCTCCAATAACAAGTTCGGAGGGTTCATTCCTGAACTCATTGGAGATCTGAAGTCACTTCGTATGCTCAATCTTTCAAACAACTTCCTCAATGGTAGCATCCCTCCTTCCTTGGCCAACCTGACAGTGCTCGAATCATTGGATCTTTCGGGGAACCATCTTGTGGGAGAGATTCCTCAACAATTAGCCCACCTCACATTTCTTTCGGTTTTCGATGTCTCTCACAATCGTCTATCGGGACCGATACCACGTGGAACACAATTTGACACGTTTGGGAGCGGCTCATTTGCGATGAATGATGGTTTGTGTGGAAGTCCTCTGCCAAATAAATGCACAAATGATGATAACGGTCCACCGCCACCATCATCTTTCATAGTAGATAATGAAGAAGAGTGTCTATTCGACTTGGATTGGAGAATTGTGCTAGTTGGCGCTGGAGTTGGGTTTTTGGTCGGTGTTGTGCTAGAGAACCTGATCATTGACAAGAAGAGGAGGTGGTTCTTGCACTATTCCAAGAAAATGGCAAAAGGATGGAAAAGGTGAGGAAAGCTCTGGCGGACAAGAAAATATGCAGCTAAATACTTAATGCTCTGTGTTTAAGTAGCTTGTTGAGAACAGTTACATATGCATGTCTGAAGATTCTAATCTATGTTTGTTTGCATTGTTCAGTATACTATTATGGAGATGCTGTTTTCTTGCTCATGAAACCTACAGTTCTTTAGGTTCTTAGAGGAATATCTGTCCATAGATGCATTAGCAATGTAAGAATGTTTTGTTGTAATATTACTAGCCAAATGACTCAAGAATATAGAGACGTAATTGAGATGATTAGATACTAATGAAAAGCCAATTAATATCCATGGTGGAGGACTACGTAAAAAATTTCGTTGTCCATTAAAAACAAGATGATTGGTGTAAAGATTTTCATGGTTCACAAATAGAAAGGGCCTTGCTTTAGTTCATTGAATGTATATTCAGATGAAATTTCATAACAGCGGATTAGCAATCCGTGCCGTGTTAGGATATTCGTGTTGGTTATTTATGTCATTTAGTGTTGATGGACAAATGTTCCAATGTGATTAATTATGAAGTCTTTCCCATTAAAAATGAGTAAAAACGTATCATCATGTGTCAATTTTGAGAAAATATTGTGTACCCCTAGTGATTCCACCGTGGAATCGTCACAACTCCGAAATGGCGACACGTGTGCGAGGGACCCACCGTGTGTCAGGAAGGCTCCACGTTGGAATCACTCGTCGGCACTCCCCAGGCCAGAGGAGAGAGCAGCGGGAGAGAAAAATTTTGAACAAAAGGTGTCCTCCTCTCTCTCCTCTTTCGCGCTCCTCCCAGATCTCCAATTCTCTCTGCACCTCACGCCGCGCTGCCTCTGACGACCAACGAGCGACGCCCTAGCCTCCGACGCCGACGCCGATGACGCCTCCGACGACCGAGGTCCGCCGCTGCCCACGAGCGACGTCCGTCGCCTCCCACGACCGAGGTCCGCCTCCTCGCGCCGACGCCGACGCTGCGTCCGACGAGCGACGTCCGACTGACCGCAACTCTCTCTCTTCTGCTTCTTTTCAAATGATGATTGCCCCCCTCACCCACCGCCACCGGCTCCACCATTGCTTCTGAACTCTTTCGCCACCGCTGCTACATCCCTCTCTCGTTCAGTTGCAGACAGAGACCGCGTGTATATGCACAACTCTCTATGCTCCGCCGAGGTTTCGCGTTCATTGTCCCGTTTGCTGCAGTTTCGGACAACGATCTGGAAGGAAGATGGGCGAGTCGTCTTGGCCTTCTGACGCGCAGGTAATCCCTCTGCAGTTCGTGAAAGCCGGTTAATGGGCATTGTCGAAAATTTGTTCTCTTCTTCGATCAAAGCCGGCCCACGTTTCTTGCTGTGATGTTCTTTCAGCAATGCCCACATTTTCTGCTGCAATGGTCTCTTTTCTTCCTCTTCTTGAAGTAGAAGATGGGGTGTGCGCATTAGGCGTCTCCACCTCGTTTTTTTTTTCTTTTTTGAATCTCCTCTGCAGTTCGTGAACGCCGATGAATTGACCCGCATTGTCGGAAATTGTTCTTTGGTTAAATCCAGTCCACATTTTTTGCCGTGATGTTCTCTCGCCAATGCCATTTGAAGCTTGAGAATCAAAGGATGATGCCTGGTCTCTTTTGTTCCTTTCCTTGAACTAGAAGATAGTCTGTGCGTGTTGGGCGTCCTTCTCTGGTCATTTTGTCTGATATTTTGTTGCTTTCGAGATGATTGATCGTGATGTGGGATGATCTAGCGGGGTAGTATCGTTGTTTCCTACTCATTGCCTTGAAAAGAGCAATGAAAGAGTCAAATGCCAGTGGGGTTTGCTTCGACTTCTTTGGTGCGTCAGTGGGAAATTCGTGGATCCTCTCTGTGTTCAGTTGAACATCATCTCTCTATTTGACCATCTTGAGAAGAGTGTAGTCAGTCTTGCGAATGTCAAAATTCTTGGGGGATTGTGCTCCATGTAATCTTATCTCATTGCAGTTGAACTATATTCGCAATGTTGTTTCTCAAATGGCTGACCAAAGAACAGATGAAGTTCAGGTTGAAGGATCTTATAGAATTTGCCCCCTGGGAGCTCATATAGATCACCAGGTCAGTTTTGTCTTATTTCTGCCATATTGTTGTTGAGGTAGTGTTTGTACAAGACCCTCTATTCGGGTATTGGTTTTCGATTTGCATCAACAGATATACAACGTAGTCAAAATTTCCTGTTCTGTTTTTTGGGTAACATCTGTATTTTCTATCTATTGTGAATATGAACAAGCCTGTTGCCTCTTATGTTCAATAAAATTTGGCGATGCAATATACTTATTATACTAATGAGGGTATACTTTGACATTGTCGATTGATGAAGAATGCAATCCTGCTAACGTTACCTTTAACTAGTCCATTGCTGAATGATAGAGAGAGATGGACATTAATTGGGAATATTGTTTACGAAATTAATATTGGTTACATTTCCTTTTCTCTTTCTTTGTTGTGCTGGCATGTCGGTTTTTCGAGAGGGTGAGGTGTCATTGTGGGAAATGGGCCTTTGTTCACTTTGTTAGAGAGAATGGTATCACTAACAGTTTTCTTTCTGTGAAGATACTCATCAACTTACTGTAAATGTTGTATGGCCCAAAAAAATTGCTTTCAATTCGCAATTTTTGTTGCATTCTTGGTAGATAAAGCCCACTATGTTTTGGCCTTTATAACATATTTGCTCTAGAAAGGCATTGTGGGAACAATCACATGTTCTACTGCTTTCTGTTTGCATCCTTAGATTTCGTTCGCTTGTCTAGAGGCCTTCTTCCTATTCTAATATGGTTTACAAATGTCACAACTTCTTTTGGGTTTTTGTTGTAACCTTGCTTTTATTGTGTCTAAATATTTTATCACATAGGTTATCCATGAGAATCAGGTGGTGGTCGTTGTGGGAGAGACTGGTTCGGGAAAAACAACTCAACTAACACAGGTGTTCTTCATGATCAATGTCATTAATTTTTCTGAAAATCTGTTGTTAGTTATCTATGGGCAAAGGGAATAAATTATGACCTCATTCTTTTTATATACTACTCATGACAGTATCTGCATGAAGATGGCTACACTGTGAATGGCATAATTGGTTGTACCCAACCAAGGTGTGTTGCAGCGACGAGTGTCGCAAAGACAGTGAGTGAAGAGATGGAAACTGACTTAGGTGAAAAAGTGGGGTATGCCATTCGTTTTGAGGATGTGACTGGGCCAAACACGGTAATTAAGGTGAGACTGTTTTCGATTGTCATGAGCAAATTCTTTAGGATAGTATTTTCTTAATGCTGACTTTTCTGAAGTAGTGTTGTTGCTTTTAGTCTGGGACATATCTCAAATTTTGTTGGTTCCCTGATAAATTATAATCTATGCCTTTTTGTTTTGGTTTTATGCTCCGTCATGTATAATTGTTTTTTTGGTGGTCAGTACCGTGTTGCAGTACATGACAGATGGAGTGCTTTTCCGTGAAACACTGAAAGATTCCGACCTTGAAAAGTACCAGTATGACAATGTCTTCTCTACTCTGATCTATTGCTTCTTGTTAAACTGGGTTGGAGTGGATTTGTATATGCATGGAGAATAACCTACGCAGACTTAGGTTCTTCAAGCAGAGCCTTTGTTGTTTTTACTTGTTTGAGGGTTGTCGTGATGGATGAAGCACATGAGAGATCACTGAACACTGATGTTCTCCTTGGGATATTGAAAAAGGTGGTAGCTCGACGACGCGATTTTAAGCTCATTGTAACATCTGCTACTCTGAATGCACAAAAATTTTCGAACTTCTTTGGCAGGTAATAATCACATTTGTCAGAAGCTTAATGCGAATGTTGATGCAGTACTAAATTAATTTAAATTGTTTACAGCATACCTATTTTTCACATACCTGGAAGGACATTTCCTGTTAACATCCTCTGGAGTAAAACCGATGTAAAGATTATGTCGAAGCTGTAGTGAAGCAGGCTATGGCTATCCATATAAGCAGTCCTCCGGGCGACGTTCTCATTTTCATGACTAGCCAAGATGAAATTGAAGCAGCGTGCTATGCTCTAGCGGAGCGCATGGAACAGCTTGTATATTCCACAAAGCAAGGTATTGGCAAGCTCTTGATTCTTCCCATATACTCCCAACTGCCGGCTGATTTGCAATCAAAGATATTCCAAAAGGCTGAAGACGGGGCTCGCAAGTGCATCGTGGCCACCAACATTGCAGAGACTTCTTTGACAGTAGATGGAATATATTACGTCATGACACAGGCTATGCTAAGATGAAAGTCTACAATCCCAAAATGGGTATGGATGCACTCCAAGTGTTCCTCGTCAGCCGTGCTGCTGCAGACCAGCGTGCTGGTCGTGCAGGCAGAACAGGACCGGGTTCACGTGATCGACTTTGCACGGAGAGTGCATATTTGGATGAAATGCTCCCCAGTCCCGTGCCGGAAATCCAGAGGACCAACCTTGGGTACGTGGTCTTATTGCTCAAGTCCCTTAAAGTTGAGAACCTGCTAGATTTTGCTTTCATGGATCCACCTCCACAGGATAACATTCCCAATTCTACGTACCAATTGTGGGTCTTAGGCGCACTTAACAATTTTGGAGGGTTAACGGAGTTTGGTTGGAAAATGGTGGAATTCCCTTTGGATCCTCCTCTTGCAAAGATGCTCTTGATGGGCGATCAGTTAGGTTGCCTAGATGAGGTTTTGACAATTGTCTCGATGCTCTCAGTGCCATCTGTATTTTTCCGGCCAAAAGATAGAGCGGAGGAGAGCGATGCTGCTAGGGAGAAATTTTTTCGTTCCGGAATCTGACCACTTAACACTGCATAATGTCTATCAGCAGTGGAAAAGTAAACAGTATAGGGGATTGGTGTAATGGTCACTTTTTGCATGTCAAGGGCTTGCGGAAGGCTCGAGAAGTGAGATCTCAACTGCTGGATATTCTCAAGATGTTGCGAATCCCATTAACTTCAAGTTGGCCCAACACAGATGTCGTTAGGAAGGCCATCTGTTCTGCATACTTCCACAATGCAGCGAGACTGAAGGGCGTCGGTGAATACGTGAATTGTTGGATCGGGATGCCTTGCCATTTGCACCCGAGTAGCACTCTCTATGGCATGGGACACACACCCGAGTACGTGGTCTACCACGAGCTGATTCTGACGGCGAAAGAGTACATGCAATGTGCCACCGCTGTGGAGCCGCAGTGGTTGGCCAAACTGGGTCCCATGTTTTTCTCCGTTAAGGACTACGATAAGTCTCTTCTGGAGCACAAGAAGAAGCAGGAGGAAGAGATGACAGCCATGGAGGAAGAAATGGAGAACCCGAGGAGATCGCAGGCGGATGCAGAGATAGAGATTAAGGCAAAAGAGAGGGAGAAGAGGGCGAAGCAACAACAACGATGTGCCTTCTTCTATCACAAAGGCTCCGCTTGCAATACGTGAAGATGACATGAGAAATGTTAAGTATTCACTTGAGCATTCAAAGGATAAATTCAAGAACACTGATGTAAATGGATTGAGGCATAATGTGTACCATTTAAATGTCTTGCTACTTTTTGTTTGTCTATTATTTGTTATTTTATTTGGACTACTTGTCCAGAGAAAATAGATGGTTCAAACATTGTGCTGTGCTGGCTCTAATAGACACAATCGCATTATCTTTTTGTGAACTTTCTTCTTCTCTACACGGTGATTGGATGTGCAAGCGCCCTCCACAGGATCGTTGGATATGTAACAGTCCGGGACGTGAGTTGCCATCATGGTGTTAAGGACTGATAAATAATTAGAACGGCTAATAATTTTAATAACTTTTTCCAAAACTTGTTTGAGCGCAAAGTTACTCACCAAATAAGAAAATTGCTCAAGAACCTGAATGAACCACCCTTATGGACATGTCCAAATGAACCTTTGTCAAAAATTATAAACCCTACCTTCGATTGTTACCCAAAAACCTATCATGACCTGCAGTGGTTTCAAAGCTGTAGAAAAGTCCGGTCTGAACGGAGATATGAGACGTTGGAAGCAAAGAGTGAGAGAGAGAGAGAGAGGAAAACATAAGCATGAAACACATTGCACCCGAAACCAGAAAATTACACAAAGTGATGGAAGAAAGAGCACAGTGAATGGTCAAAAAGCACATCAAGTCCCTAGAAAGTTGAGAATCTAACGAGCCCAGAATCACAAGATATATTTTATTTTGCTCATTCACTTTTGACATCCTGCAAGCTCCATTGATTGCATAACTGGAGAATTATAAAGTATTCCAAGAACCAATCTGTTACAACCAAACTAATTGAAAAAAAGGATGAACAAAAAAGACAATGCATTTCGTCAGAGTTCATAAGGTAGCGAGGGCAGGTTGTGGTGGCGTTTGCTGCAAAGATAACGGCATGTTCACAGGATTAGCTTGAATCAACTAGCAAAGTAAATAAAAGATTAAGAAAAGTCAGCTATTTAATTTATCTATATTAGGAGAGAAAATATTAGGTTCAAGTACGAAGGTACGCAAGTTCTCTTTATCCTTGACGATCTTGGTGATGGCTGCCCCATCATTCCTTCATTAGCCATTGTGGATATGAATAACAATCTAAACATAAAATATTGAATTATAAAACAAAAGGCAATGGAAGGGAAATGTAAGCAGAAAAGCCGGTGTTCCCAGGTTGCAGATTCCTTTCGATCTTCTCCGCCATTGTGGGTTCCATCTAGGATCTATCATGCTTTTCCTGTCTTTCATTCCCTATTGTTCTTCAATTGATAGCTATGATATGAATGGAAGAATGCAGATTAATTTGCTCATGATTGAGATCAGTTGCAAGATCGACCTTCTCAACTTGGGTCCACACTTAAAGATTAGTAAAGCACACAAATTACATGCTTAGCAGAGAAACCTATAAATCATACATCACACATCATACACAAAAGGAAATCTAATGTATCCTTCGCTTTCCAAACATTGAAAAACTAATTGTTATCGTGATGCAACAGAAAGTAACTCAAAATCCGACTAGTGTGCTGGCTAATACTCACAGCAATGAAAAGAAAGCGAGATGCCCTGTGTGACCTCAAGTTTCACATCCCGCAAACTAAAGCTTAGCACTAATCAGGTTATGATAGCTCAACTTGTCACTCTTTGTTCCCTCTCATATGTCACATGACTCTTCCTTCTCAACTCAAACAAGTGAATTTCCTAAAAGTTTTTGAAGCCAAAATCATACAAAACTCTTATGCTTTGTTTGGAAAGCGATAAAATGGGGAAGGACAGAAATTTACAGGAGAAAATTTCAAATTTCCCTCTGTCTTAATGTCACAAAATTTCAAAATTTACTTTATTTCCACCCTAATTGTCCTCACCTCCTCTTTTTGTCCTTTCCGGAATGGAGTGTTAGTAGCCATGATTAACAGTATATTAAAGGATGCTCGACTCCATTAGTCTACCATGACTAACTCACGATCTTTCACACGCTAATAAAAATACTTCTTTTATTTGATGGGACAATATGCACCTTAGAGAGAGGCATTAAAATGACACTTTCAAATCATTTCAAATGCTCAGAAAACACAATTAACAAAGAAATGATGTTTTGAGACAAGCACCAGAACTATTTTGTCATAGAAGTTGGAACTCCCACGCCCGGAACAGGTGATACACAAGTTGCAAGAGTGACCATAAAGTGAGAAGTATCAAAGAATGCTGCACTAACCAAACAAAGGAACTGATAATATTGAAAGTTAACCTCATCCTCGCATGACAAAGAAGAGGCAACTACGTGGTCTTTCCCTGATCAAACTAGCGAACACGGAAAATTCATTATCGAGACACAAATTTCACTACAGCAACAGCAACTGGATCCTTATAATAAGACTAGAGAATCATCACTAATGCTATATCATACAAGGTGAACATAACAAGCGCAAACTCACCATTCTAATAATGCAAATAGAAATTTTCTCTGCTTTATTGAATCTAATTTAGAGTCTAATTATTTGTGAGTCATTTACCAAGATCAACCGTAGAACGACAATTACACTTTCAAATTTGGCCATTCAGAATCCTGATCCCAAGTTGACACAGCTCAATGAGGGGACCCCAAAAATTGAAATTTTTATCCTAATTCAAGGAGCTCTAGGATCAGTTCCATGTTGCCAAACATAAGCAAGCTCATCCCAACTTGTACTAGCGAGAAGCCCTTCGACAAGCACGCTCATGTCAACTAAATGTCGTGAATGAAAATATACCTGAGGAAAAAAAGCATCACGATCTGAAATATACCTCGCTCGTGGGAGGCGACGGACGTCGCTCGTGGACAGCGGCAGACCTCGCTCGTCGGAGGTGGCGTTGGCATCGGCTAGGTGGGCATCAACGCCTAGGCAAATCCAAGCTCAACCTCAAATCCACCTATTTTGTAATTTGTAAATCGAAGCTCAACCTCAAATTGCAGGTAAACAAACACCCACCAAGCAATACACTTCAACTCTACCTCAGGCAAAGGAACCCAACAAGAGCACAACCCAGAAAAACCATTCTTCTTCAAAGTTCTTAGGCAAACACAGAATAGAACAACCTCAACACACTTGCACCTCTAAACATAATGTAGCTCTTCTGTACTAGACACCAAACAAAAAAAACTTCATCTGCATGTAGGGATAGAAATAGCCCCAGAACCACAGTCAATATATAACTAGGTGCATGAGAATTCATCTGCAGATTCAGAGACTAGCATGTTAATCAAGGAACCAAACAAGATGATCATCCTTTTTGCAGTTTCTTACAGCCAACATGCAAAACCAAAAGGTAAAATAAAATTGAAGTCTTCAGAGGTGTTTGAGAGGACTTTTCAACCCTCACTTCTAGCTTTTAAGAGGTGCTATATTTCCAAAAACTATAGCAGTTAAAACAGATATAAGCTGATTTTCAATATCTGTCTATATGCACTTAATAGCCTCTAATCCTTCATTCTGAAAAAAAAACAAAATTGATTGCTTGGCATTGTGCAGAACTAATTGCACAATGCCAAATCCTTGCACATAGCATTTTCTAAAAGTACAACACACTAAAAGATCACTCAATCACTTCTGTGGCCACCACTACAACCATGCATAGGACAACAGAGCTCTAATGCTACAACACCATAAAAAAATTGACAGCCATTCCACACCCACATAGCTTCCGTCCTCTCCTTTGAAATAGAGATCCAATAGAGCATCCTCTGGGGCAATTGAAGCACAGCCAAACTGTGCCCTCCTTAAAATAGTGATCGAGAAAAGCCAAGAACCAGAAGAAAAATACAAAGGAGAAGAAATCCCTCATCCAGATAACAAAATTAGAGTCAAGTTTCGATTTTTTTTTACCACTCCCTCGAAATACCTTTCCAATTTCTCAGTTGAACATAAAGCACCGCAAAAGCTCAAATAAGGAACATGCACTTAAGTTGTGGGTGCATGTGCAAATAATCGAAAATATAACCTAGCTATCCCTTCAAGCACAAGCTTTCTTCACATACCCTTCAGAAGTTTAAAGTGCTCTATGAAATGAAGCCATGCTAATACCTAAATTTTTCTTGGTCATGATAAAGCAACTGCATTCCTGAAAAGGTGGACTTCAAACTGGAGCTAACAACTTGTTAAATTGAACTCAAATGAATCTAATGGAGAGAGACTAAAGCCGCTTCTTTACACATAAATTCTTTCTCCAAAATCAACACAAGACTTTATAGGAGTCATGCAGCATGTCCTGACCAATGCAACCGCATGAAGATAACCTTAACTGATCTCTCAAGTATTCATAGGTATAACTCAAAGGCTAAGGTCAAGGTTAATTTTTCTTCCCAAGCAGACATTCGTGACTCCACATTACCAGTCCAATTTGGAAAGAGAAATAAAGGATGATCAAGAGCAGCTACATGTTTATTTAGAGCTACAACCAAGCACAGGTCTCCTTAGTTTCTTTCAGTATATAGCATATTGAATCTCCAATCTATAGAGCAATTATTTTGAAAGCTTACCAATCAGGGAAGTGTTTTCAGAATATTTTTGGAAAGAACCTTGACTGCCACAAGGCCAAAAGCTTTCTCAGTAGGATGTATGCGTCACTTGCTCCCATAGATAAAATAGCATCCCTTATCTAATGAGGCAGGGAAACATTAGTGAAGCACAATTATCAAAAGTGCAAACAATGGAAATCTTGGCTAACACAACAAAAGAGGTTTATAGTCCCTAAGAAGAAAAGAACCTTTTTATTTGATAGATTGGCTTCGAGATTTATATCCTTGAAGAAAGCAGGATCACGAGCTGATCCATATAAAGAACCATCATTTCCACGGATAAATCCTAGCGATCTTAACTGGTCCTCCAGGCATATTGTTGACGTGCCCACTTCTAAATCATCATCTGCAGAAACCATAATAAGTGATAGAGTACCAGCTACCATCATAATTATGAATGCACTTGTTTTAAGCAGAATAGCTGGTCATAGACAAAGAATCTAACAATTCATCACCAAATTTCAGGGACCAAAACAGGAAGTCAAAAGAGACCCAAGCAGAGAAAGAGCAAGAGAGATCAAGAGAAAGGGGGAAAAAACAACAAAAGCGAAGACTGTCATGCCTTATGGATCGTGAATACACTCGCTGATAAGACCTCAGCTCTCAGATTAGGCATTTGACTCTTTCATTGCTCTTTTCAAGGCAATGAGTAGGAAACAACGATACTACCCCGCTAGATCATCCCACATCACGATCAATCATCTCAAAAGCAACAAAATATCAGACAAAATGACCAGAGAAGGACGCCCAACACGCACAGACTATCTTCTAGTTCAAGGAAAGGAACAAAAGAGACCAGGCATCATCCTTTGATTCTCAAGCTTCAAATGGCATTGGCGAGAGAACATCACGGCAAAAAATGTGGACTGGATTTAACCAAAGAACAATTTCCGACAATGCGGGTCAATTCATCGGCGTTCACGAACTGCAGAGGAGATTCAAAAAAGAAAAAAAAAAAAACGAGGTGGAGACGCCTAATGCGCACACCCCATCTTCTACTTCAAGAAGAGGAAGAAAAGAGACCATTGCAGCAGAAAATGTGGGCATTGCTGAAAGAACATCACAGCAAGAAACGTGGGCCGGCTTTGATCGAAGAAGTGAACAAATTTTCGACAATGCCCATTAACCGGCTTTCACGAACTGCAGAGGGATTACCTGCGCGTCAGAAGGCCAAGACGACTCGCCCATCTTCCTTCCAGATCGTTGTCCGAAACTGCAGCAAACGGGACAATGAACGCGAAACCTCGGCGGAGCATAGAGAGTTGTGCATATACACGCGGTCTCTGTCTGCAACTGAACGAGAGAGGGATGTAGCAGCGGTGGCGAAAGAGTTCAGAAGCAATGGTGGAGCCGGTGGCGGTGGGTGAGGGGGGCAATCATCATTTGAAAAGAAGCAGAAGAGAGAGAGAGTTGCGGTCAGTCGGACGTCGCTCGTCGGACGCAGCGTCGGCGTCGGCGCGAGGAGGCGGACCTCGGTCGTGGGAGGCGACGGACGTCGCTCGTGGGCAGCGGCGGACCTCGGTCGTCGGAGGCGTCATCGGCGTCGGCGTCGGAGGCTAGGGCGTCGCTCGTTGGTCGTCGGAGGCAGCGCGGCGTGAGGTGCAGAGAGAATTGGAGATCTGGGAGGAGCGCGAAAGAGGAGAGAGAGGAGGACACCTTTTGTTCAAAATTTTTCTCTCCCCCTGCTCTCTCCTCTGGCCTGGGGAAGTGCCGACAAGTGATTCCAACGTGGAGCCTTCCTGACACACGGTGGGTCCCTCGCACACGTGTCGCCATTTCGGAGTTGTGACGATTCCACGGAGGAATCACTAGGGGTACACAATATTTTCTCGTCAATTTTGAGAGTAATCGTACCAAGTTCGCGGTTTTCTCGGAAAAGTTGTACTTGTGTTCGAGTCACCTAGGCATTGCCACTTCCCATACTCTTCCTGACATTAGCTTGCAATTTTAGTGAGTTACCAATTTTTTAATCTGATGCGGTATCCTACACGAAAGATACTTTCATAGAGATCATCTTAAGTTAAGGGTGCGTTCATTTCGCGAAAAATGAGTGATTTAAAAAAAATTTTCTGAAAAAAATAATCGCTTATATTGTTTTGAAAAATAAATTAAAGGAAAATTATTTTATCACTCACGAAAATAGTTAGGCATACATTGTTATGGATAATAAAAATATTTTCTGTTGAATAATTTTTCTATACAATATAAATAATCGTTTTTCAGAAAATATTTTCCAAATCACTCATTTTTCGCAAAACGAACGAACCCTAAATGTAAAATTCTTAGCTTAGGGGGCATATAATTTAATATAAGACTTTGACATTTTGCCTTTAGTCACCCCATGAGTCCTTTCAAAGAAAATTATGGAGTGGCTAATAAAAGAGCATTACAATCTCCTCTGTCTCTTCTATGACATTGGTGCTATAATAACAAACACAAAAATTAAATTAAGAAAAAAAAACCATATCTTGTCACCCTCATTAGTGTACATAGTTTATACTTAGGGTCATTTTGATCTAGGGTCATTTTGATCTCGATGTTCCATACATGCTGTTTCACTGAGAAAGTGAAAATCTTTCACCAAATAGATTGATTTTGGTTTTTTATACGGAAAGGATTTTGTATCGAACTTGGACAAGAAATTACTTGGCTGGAAATTGAAAGACGAAATGGAGAAGAAGTTATAGAATTTAAAGTGTTGGAAAGTAAATTTACGAGATATAAGACTGAACGAAAAATAATTAAACTTCATTGACTATTGTTTAGGAAAAAGAGCGAGAAAATTTACGATATTCATGGTGAGTATTTATAGCTCACTAACACCAATTACATATAAGTAGTCAGTACTTTTTATTACAAATACTGCTACATGCTTTTCGTGATCACATGCATACGTTTCGTACGATGATAATCATTATTCACAAGAAGTTATCGGGATAATCAACCGTCAATTGATGTTAAAACCATCGTCTCGTGTTGAAATCGACACATCTCACTTGTCTTGTAATTCCAACACTTAAGCAAATTTTGCAAATGACAAATCATCAATGATTGATGTCGATTGGCAATGATACCTATCGATAATTTCTCTCATTTGTTGTTAATGATCTTACTAAGCTATAGATTAGTACACTTTAAATCAACCCCCATGTTCACAAATGACCTCTTGGATAGTCCACCAAACTTATCACTTGCCAATAATAAAAGTTAGTCAAATTTTGGTGTAAAAACGTGCTTTGCTAATCGGGAAAAGTGTCATAAAAGTCCTAAACATTTTGCATTTGTGCCAGTTCAGTCCTAAACCTTTTTTTGTGATAATTCAGTCTTAAACCTTTTGTTTTTGTGCCAATTCAGTCCTTCCGGCTAATTTTGGCCGGATATTACTGACGTGGACGCCGGTCGGCCTATATGGCACCGCCGGCGCTGACATAGATAATTTTTAATGATATTTTAATATTTTTTCGATTTTTTAAATATTTTTTATGATTTTTTTCTTTTATTCTTTTTTTCCTTCTTTTCTTTTTTTTCTTTTCCTTCTTCTTCTACCTTTAGCTAGTGACTGGACACCGGCCACCAGCCATGCCTGGCCATCGTCGCCCGAACGAGGTTGCCGTCGCCCTCCACAGACAAGACCGCTGTCGCCCGCCACAGACGAGGCCCGACCGACCCTCACCTGGGCGAGGGTGAGCGAGCCCTAGCAAGGGTCGGCCTCGCCCAGGCCAGATTTGGTGAGGCCGACCCCCGCCTGGGCAAGGGCGAGCCCCAGTGAGGGCTCCCCTCGCTAAATCTAGCGAGGCCGGCCCTCGCCTAAGCCACGGTGGCCTCGCTAGGCATCGCCTTCCCTCGAGCAATGCCCGGCAAAGCCACTATGGCCTGGGCGAGGGTTGGCCTCGCCAGATCTGGCCTGGGCGAGGTTGACCCTCGCCAGGTCTCGCCCACCCTTGCCCAAGTGAGGGTCGGCCGGGGCCTTGCCTGTGGCTAGCGACGGCGGCCTCGTCTGTAGCTAGCGACGGCGGCCTCGTCTAGGCGAGGCTAGGCGGCTGGCCATCGACCAAAGGTAGAAGAAGAAGGAAAAGAAAAGAAGGAAACAAAAAGAATAAAATAAAAAAATGAGAAAAACATATAAAAAATTGAAAAAATATTAAAATATTATTAAAATTTACTCACGTTAGCGATGGCGGTATCACGTAGGTCGACCAGTGTCCACGTCAATAATATCCTGCCAAAATTAGCTGGAATGACTGAATTTGCATAAAGACAAACGGTTTATGACTGAATTTGCACAAATGCAAAAGGTTTATGACTTTTCTGATACTTTTTCTCTTATTGCATTGGTATCAATTTAGTTCTAAATCTTTTTGGGTGCCAATTCAGTCCTTCAAGCTAATTTTGGTCGATTTTTGTTGACGTGGATACCGGTCGGCCTACGTGGCACTGTCGGTGCTGACGTGGACAACTTTTAATAATATTTTAATATTTTTTCGAATTTTTTTGAATTGTTTTCTTTTCTTTCTTTTTTTTCACTTCCCTTTTTTCTTCCTCCAGCCAGTTGTCAGACCTCGGCAACCGGCTAGAAGCCAGGGCCAGCGAGGTTGACCTCGCTAGCCTCTAGCGAGGCTCGACTTCACCAGATCCGACGAGGTCATGCCTCCCCCGAGGCCACGAGGGTGGCCTTGCGCTGGGTTGGTGAGGCTCGCCCTCGCCAGAGGCAACGAGGGTGACCTCACACTGGGCAGGCGAGGCTCGCCCTCGCCGAATCATGCGAGGGTCAAGCCTTGCCCAGCCGTTGGCGAGGCTCAAGCCCTCACCGAATGGCTGTGAGGGCGGACTCGCACTAGGCTGGCAAGGGTCGAGCCTCGCCGGCCATGGGTGAGGCGACCTAAGCCCTCACTGAATGGCCGCGAGGGCGGCCTGGCACTGTGCCGGCGTGATTATCCTATTCACCGATGCGTGATTCCGGCGCCCCTAATGTCACCGGAAAGAAAAGGGTCCACACCGGACCTTATTGGGCCTTGGGCTTTCGGCCCGCGACGCGAGTCCAAGAACAGCCAAAAGAATCGGGTCAGGCCCAAAACCCGTTTTCTTTTTCGGATCCAATACGTAAGCCCTAGGGTTTTATGTTACGAAGTGATATAAAGTCTTCTCTCAGTCGAACCAGCTTCTCTCCGTCGGAACCATCGCACCGCCTCGGTTCTCAAGCTCCGAAGCAGGTACCGTTCGAGCTCGATCCTTTGAAAATTATCGGTGCTGATCATCGCATGATTGATCTTCAGCCTCTTGGTCGCTCTTCTTCGGTTTGATTCGCGTTGGATTTGCTTCGTTTCATTTCGGGTTCGAATCTGTTTGCTCTTTGCTCCGTTTCGATCCGCTTGTTCGTTCGAAAGTTTCGGCATTATTCGCGGTCGTCGTCGTTCGCGCTTTGCTGAGTTCGCGAGCTCGATCTGTTGTGAGATGCGAGGGAGGTGTTCTCTTCATGAATCTCGGGTGTTTTGTTTTCTTGCCGAACGAATTGTGTTGGAAATGCTGTGTGTTGTTCTCGCTCGACCTCGTCTGTTGAAATTATTGTTTATGTGGATTGATGAAAGTTCCGTGGTGATGCGATGTCGGAAGTAAGTGTTTCCTTTTTCTGGGCTGTGGAGATTGAAATCAAGTTTTGATTTTTATCTGATTGCACTGCTTACTTGTCGGAATTGTTCGCGATGCACCATTTTGTTGGTCTAGTGTGCAGTGGGAGTGGGAAGGTTTGAGAATGTCGATGCCCTTTAAATGGGGATTGTAGTTTTAAATCCAGACATGTTTCTTGTAGTTTTAAATGAGATTTGCTCAGATTTCTGCTGTCTAGGAATGTGCCGATTTGAGCTCAAACATGTTTCAGCTTATTTAAGCTGTTAGTCGACAAAACTTAAAACTCACTATTGTTTGGTTTACTTGCTTACCATGTCATTCTTTTTCTTTTGTGAAAATGGTTATTCTGAATTGAAATTATTGTGTTGGCAATGTGGAAGATACTGTGCTTATGATATTTAGTTTTCTGAATTTCTATTTTGGCTCTGAAAACCAGTTTTAACATTGTGCAGAGTGAAAAAACAAATTTGATGTACTTTTCGTTAATGTGTTTGGACCATAATCCGTCATGTATTTACAGTCTAATAGCTTTTGCTGATAACATATATCCACATCTCAGAGCCTTCTTAACCTTAAAAGCTTTTGTCTTTTTTTCATTTCTAGGTAAGTCATGGTTAAACATAACAATGTTGTGCCAAATGGGCACTTCAGAAAGCACTGGCAAAATTACGTCAAGACCTGGTTTAACCAGCCTGCAAGAAAAGCTAGAAGACGCTTAGGTAATTGAATTGCTCCCTTTATATAGAAGTGATGTCATTAGTTGCCATTCTTATTTTCGGAGCATCCTGATGTTCTTTATTTTGTGCCCAGCTCGGCAAAAGAAGGCTGTGAAGATTTTCCCGAGGCCAACAGCAGGTCCACTCCGACCAGTTGTCCGTGGTCAAACCCTGAAGTATAATATGAAGGTCAAGGCTGGGAAGGGATTTTCTCTTGAAGAACTTAAGGTATAGTCATGATGAGTTATTTGTTTGAATGGGTTCCTTTGTCATGAAGAATCTTCGTTACCTTGTTAGGATAATTTTTTTAGTGTTGATACAAGTAGAACGAATAGATGTGGTCATTGAGCCCTTTCAAAGTTTGCGACAATGACATTTAGCAATCATTTGACTTGCTGTTCCGCTTATAATTTTGTCAGTTAGGAAATTGTTCACTGCCCCTTTCGGATCTTTATATCCCAAATCACGAAGCATCATGAGGAGATAGGCTATTTGTATCTCACCAGCATTATTTTCACCATAATTTTGCATATGAAGCTTTGTTAAAGCCCCTGTACTGTCTTACCGTCATATAATTCTTACCTGCGGTCAAAGTTGCATTTGGCTATTCGAGTGGCAGAGAAACCAGTTTCAAGTAGACTTGCATCATTAGCTTCATTTACCTATTTAAACAGAACTTGGGCTTCTGTTCTTTTCTTTTTTAACTTTTTGTTGTTTCATCCAGGTTTCAGCATGCTAAGTTGGCATGTTTTAATCTTTTTTTTTGCATGCTTTTTTGCACTGCGGTTTGGTATTACTGCGTTTTTGTACCAGAATTTTGGTGATAACTAAACGGCTCCCCTGATTGCTCCTTCTTCAAGGATTTATTTTACAGTTTCCAGCATTTGGTGCAAGCCTTATGCTTAACTTGCATTTTGTATATCTCAGGCAGCAGGCATCCCAAAGAAATTAGCTCCAACAATTGGAATTGCGGTTGATCATCGCCGCAAGAATCGCTCGCTGGAAGGTCTTCAAGCTAATGTGCAGAGGCTGAAGACATACAAGGCGAAGTTAGTTGTCTTCCCAAGACGCGCACGGAAATTCAAGGTAAAATTGAGAACTTGAAAAATTCTTATCGATTTTATTCTGAACCCTTTTCTCGTTGAAAACATCTCATCTTCCTTCTTTATATGCAGGCTGGTGATTCCACTCCAGAAGAGCTTGCAAATGCAACTCAAGTCCAAGGAACTTACCTGCCCATTGTAAGAGAAAAGCCAGCAGTGGAACTTGTGAAGGTCACAGATGAGATGAAATCGTTCAGCGCATATGCCAAGCTACGAGTGGAGCGCATGAACCAACGTCATGTTGGCGCGAGGATGAAAAAGGCCGCTGAGGCTGAGAAGGAAGATAAGAAGTAGTGAGGCCGGTTTGTATTTTGGTTAAAAGTATGTTTTTGACGAGTATTTAACGGGGTTAATTTTCTCTGTGGGTACTTAACATTTTAGCCAGACGAGAAGTTGAAATTTGAATGAGTATCCTTGTGCTTTATAGTTTCATGCATTTTTGGTACATCATGTTGAGCAAGATTTTCAGACGACCTCGGTTTTGGGAGTTCCATCTATATTTTGACATTCTTCTTTTTTTTTCATTATGTTCTAATTATTTGTTTCTCTTGACGTATCTCCCTTAGCAGATATTAGACTGCTGTTTGGAAATGAAATTTGTGGAAATTTTTAGTGAGGCGTATCACTTTGTTCATGTGGAAGACTACAGTATAATTCGAGATATGTTTCGGGCGTTCATTTTGACCGCATTTAGTACTTTTGAAAATAGAGATATGTAAATAGTCACAGTATAGATTGAATTCGGCAACTTTTGTTTGAAGCAAATTTGGATTTGATAAGAACATCAATACGTACACTTTAATTCGTGTATACATAGTGATTTCAATAGATAAAGTTACATCATAAGTAGATTTTAATCTTACTAGAGCGTGAATTAGTAGGATTCATTTATATTTTTTGCCTTCTGCGAACCAAATGAGCCTTTAATCTAACGTTACGAAGTTGGCTCCTCCGTTTAATTAGGCCTATAAACATCTAACTAAAAGCCGATGCTAGTCGTTCATTTCTAATCCCAATAACTTTACTAATCGCAACGATTGAACAAGGTGCCTTTTTTTTTTTTTCAAATTAGCCAAAGGTGCCTATTGCTCAATTTTTGTTGGTAGATCTTACCTTTGGATGTTTAGCGCATGTACATTTCGTTGCACTACAAACTAGAAATTTGGCACTGTGCGTTTTCTAGACAAGAGAGTTCACGTGTCCTGGCATTTTATACTTGTGCATAACGAGGATGGTAAGGGAAGCTGCCATCAGTTTGCCTGGGAATGTCAGAATGAACAAGGAACAGAACAGGCATTTGCTCGAAGGGTCGAATTGGATCGGCTCATCGCACAGTTGGCTCTTCCCCCATGGCCCGGCGGCCGGCGGCCACCTCTCCTCTCTTCCTCTTCAACCCCTTCACTTGCTCTATCATTGCCTCCGCCCATCTCTTCTTGTTAGGATTCTTCAAGCTAAACTTCCTAGTTAGGATTCTTTTGAATTAACACTAGCTATAAGTAGTCGATTTAGGTTGGTCTTCTCAGTTTTTCAGAAGGTTTATGTTAGACTCGTGATTACTTTGATGGATCTTGTAAACAAATGACCCCAAACACTAATTAAGTTAACTAAAAGTGAAAATAACACTTTTCAAGGCTCCGAAAAAATGAATACATTGTATATTTTAATATGGTCAATTACTGCGGATAGAAAAAATTACATTTTCAAGAGGCGACAGAGCACTTTTTTAAATATTTTCTATACGACCAGACGAATATATATTCTATACGCATAATTCGGGGTCAGTTTTTTATATGTGTCAATAGGGATGCTGGGTAATTTTGTTATCTATGAAGATGCCAAAACATTTTTCGTAAGCCTTCCATGTGGACGCGGAAACCATCCAGACTTCTCTCCCCTTTTAAGGTGCTGGACTTTTTAGCTATCTTATAGATCTCACGAAAAATATTGTAATTTTTATTTAATAGAGTTCTTTTTTCAGGCAGTCATTTTTAAAGAAAATATTTTTCTGAAATTTCCGATGTCCGACTCAAATATGAAAAAGAATCGGAAAATAGTTTTCGTTATCGGAAAAGGGAAGTCTGATTTGATTTTCTTAAACACAAATACATTATCCAAGCATTTGGCAGCAGGGGAATAGATATGGGTACCAGGATCCCGGGTCCAGCTTTGATGGACCCCAACCGAAGTGTCAGGTACCCAAGCATGAGCATGAGTACCAGGTTTCTGAGCCTCGACCTCGATGGACATGGGCTCAAGCGCAAGGTATCCGGACACAAGCACTAGGGACCCAAGCCCAAGTGCCAAGCACTCGAGCCCAAGCATTGATGACCTAGGCACGACCTTTATGGACTTGGGCCCGAGTGTCGGGGATCCGAACCCAAGATCTAAGGATCTGGGCCCGAGTGCCAAGGTCCGCACTCGACCTTTGTGAACTTGAACAGGGTGCCGAGGAATCGGATACGGGCACCGGGGCCTCGAGCCCAGCTTTGATGGATTTGGGCCAAGGCAACCGGGAACAAACCTTAGGATTCCTGTGCCCAAGCACTAAGCATAGGTTTTTTGGAAAATATTTTCTGCAAAACAAATCCATTTTCCGATTGTATAAGTTGATCAATTGTCGACCTTTGGAGCTTCCCCAAGATCCTAAATCTGAAACCGTTGATGGTGACCGAGTTTGACAAATGGTATACTTCATAAGTTCTCCATATATTCGACCAAACAAAAAAAGTTCTTCATATATGTTAATTCAACAGATATTTCAAAATTGCACAAGGCGAACACTAATGCGAATAATCACACAATCATTATCTTTACGTATATTTTGTTAGAGACCGAGGCATCTGTCCAAAATATTTAACCAAGTCTACTAATACTCTTGCGCGGAAAACAACTAAAAGCAAATTCTTTTATTACTCTAAAAACTAGACAAAGCAGAAAAGATCGGTGCTGAATCTGAATCAAGTAAAGACTATGGTAAAACTATAAAAAATCCTAGCAAATGACATAATAAAAGACTGCGTATGCTGACGTTATAGGCTGTATAGCAATATTAAGGAGAGAATTCATGCGCCTTTCACTTGGCTGGTGCCGGTGCCAGTGTAGGTGCCGATTCCGGGTTTGGCGTCGGTGCTGGTTCCTCTATTGGCAATGTTGGTGTTGGACCGGGCACCGGCTCCTCTGTCCATGGTGTCGGCCCTTCAGTTGGGGTTGATGGTGTCGGTCCAGGTGCTGGCTCCTCTATTGGCGGTGTCGGCCCGAGTGCAGGCCCCTCAGTTGGCGGTGTCGGCCCCAATGCAGGCTCTTCTATTGGCGGTGTCGGTCCAAGTGCTGGCCCCTCAGTTGGCGGTGTCGGCCCCAATCCAGGCCCCTCAATTGGGTCCGGTGGTGTTGGCCCTAGTGCCGGTCCCTCAATTGGTGGCTCCTCTGTTGGCGGTGCCGGCCCCGACGCAGGCCCCTCAACCGGGGTCGGCGGCGTCGCTCCCGGCACCGGCTCTTCAATCGGGTTCGATGGTGTCGGCCCTAGCACCGGCCCCTCAACAGGTGTTGGCGGTGTGGCCCCTAGTCCCGGCTCCTCAGTCGGCGGTGTCGGCTCCAGTGCCGGCCCCTCGACTGGGATCCGAGGCGGTATCAATCCTACCGCCGGCCCTTCTGCCGGTGTTGAGGGTGTCGGCTTTGGTTTGGACGCCGGAGGCGGCATCTGCGGCGGAGGACCGTGGTGGTAAGGGGGCCTCGGGAAAGGGAAAGGAGGGCGCAAGAAGGGGGGTAGAGGAGGGATTACGGGGAAGTGGCTGCGGGGAAACCATCGCCAGCAATCGCTCCAGAACGACATCATACCGCTCGACCCGGTCGAGTCTTGGCTCTTCTCCTCAAGCTCTCTGCCATTGCAGAGCTCGCTGACTGAGCAGCAAACGAGAAAAACAATGAGCGATATGGACACGACGCTCTTGAGGCTCGACTTCCCCATCTTTTCTTCCCTCTTTCTCCTCCTCTTTTTCTTCTCTTGTTCTTGAGTTGGTCGTCGTGAGAAGTTCTTATATAGAAACCAGGGAGATGATGATGATCACGATCATGAACTAACCCAGCAGTGTTTCTAAATTCGAAATCGATACCCAAAAAAACTGAACTCCCCCGTTTAAACATTCCATGATTCGAACGGGCAGAGGTTATCTTTTCTTCGAATTTTATCTCGAAAGGAGTTCGTGTATATATCCGCATTCTTCTTATTTCATCGGATTTCGTTGGAGTTTAGAATTTGAAAATGGCAGGACCGTCCTTGTACCCTAACACTTGTTGTTCAAGAAGTGCTTGCAAAGAATAACACTTGTTGTTCAAGAAACATTTGGTAGGACAAAGGATACATTAGAGAGCAAAAGATAAATTTACAATTGAAAATTGAAAATTTCTGGGGAGAGAGAGAGAGAGGAGAGAGAGAGATATGAACAAGATCATCTGCTTAGCTCGAATGATCTTTCAGAAGCTTTTCATATATTACGTTTATGTTTATTGGTATCTGAAAACTTTAATTTGAACTGTCATATTCCATGTTATTGACGTATAGGTGCGATTATGGATCATCTGTAATTTCAATGGACCGATTAGGGATAACGTCCAGGTGTTGGTCAGCTGAATAAATCAAAAAATCAAATGTTTGATTCCTAATCATTAACGATTATGCCTTATCCTAGATTTATTCGGCTCTTAAGATAGAAATGGAAAAGAAAGGGCAAATGGAATCTAGGTGTCTCTATCTACAGTGGGAGGCTGGAGTTATCTTTTGTAGTACTTGAACATGATGTACATTGTACATGTAATGCATAATACATGCCTTATATGAGGATTAATCGGGTTGAAAAGTTCGGGTATCATGTGTTATAGAAAAGGTGAACAATTAGATTGATAAAGCTTTGGTATGTCTTCTTTTGCACCACTTTTAAAATCTAAAAACAAACTAAGTTCACCAAGAAAAAAACAAAAATACTCATGAAGAATTTATGGCGATGTAAATTAGAACATTGATAAAAAGAATGTGATAGGAAAGCTGGAACAATGTGATGGTCATTAGGTAAAACAAATTGGCCATAAAAAAGATTATTAAAGATCAATGCACAAGTTAATCAGTTAGTTTAAAGGAGTCAATCCACTAAGCATTACTTATGCAATCAAAAGAAATTAGAAAATGTGGACAGGGTGTCGATAATTCCTTTAAGAATTTTAAATTAAAAAGATGAGGAAAGTAACTTTTGATTGGGAAAACGAAGATTGTCTATTTTCAAAATAGTGAAATATTTTTCGTTATCATTTTTGAGAAAACAATTTCTATTCGAGATAATCCAAACACATTGCTACAAACAATTTTCCATCATCAAAACAAAACTAGTACTTAAACTTTGATCCAATGTACGATGTCACCTTTTAACTTTTAATTTATTTAATGTAATTCTTGAACTTTTGATAAATATTCAATGTTGTTCTTCCATTAATTCAAGTTAATGGAATTTGCTCATTTGGCTTCCTATCCGGTGCGTTTAAACGGTGGAACAAAGAAACTTACGCATGAGTTATCCATGTAAGAATTTTAATTCAAATTAGAATATAATAATCTTTTTAAATTCAATATTTTTTTTGTCGAAAGCAAATCAAATCGAGATAGAGCAAAGCCTAGAATATTGCAAAATAAAGCTAAATCCAAAAGCAAGGAGGATCAATGGAGCACCTTAATCACACACTTGTTTAACAGGAATGGCTCTGTCAAGAAAAATAATCGGAGGCTTCGTATATTAGTAATGAGCACATGTCGAAAATTCATTCTCCATTGACTGCATCATTGCTAGTTCGTGGTGCACGCCTAAGTTAAGCTTTCTTTACACCATCGTCATACAGAGATAACAAAAAAGAGGTTGAACAAACACAAATTTAATATTTGGAAGAGCAAATCTCCGTGATTCAGCGAGATACCAGAGCTTTAATGATCACCATCAAGCGAAAGGCAAAGGACCTATATACGAATAGAGCAAAGGCGTATCAAATCCCCAAAAACAATAGTACTCACATTATAATTAAATCGGGAGAATTCAAACTGTCAGATGTAGAACTAGATTAAAAGAAGAAAGCTCCCAGATTTAAATCGGGAGAGAAGAAGAAATAATAAAAGGACCATTAAATACAAACAAAATCAACAAGAGAGAGGGGCAAGGGTGAAACCCTCTTTTCATGACTGAAGGTCGAAGAAGAGAGATTGTTTACATTCAATTTGGAAAAATGATTATTCATATTATTTGATAACGTGAATTATTATATTCTGATTTGAGTTGAATATTGTACATTAATAGTACATGCATAACGTTACATCGCTCAAACTTACAGAATTAGAAGCTAAATCAGTAAATTTTGTTGTACAATATTCATATGATCCGTGGAGCAAATTGAATATTTGCTATAAGTTCGAGGACGGCATTACACGTCAATTCAAAATTTATATATTATTTGTGTCATTATATATTTCACTATCGCAAATTAAAGTGTGCACGGCCCTTTACCACGAACCACCCAAATTATTCCACCTGTACAATGCAATGCACCCAAGGAATATCCAAACTGGCTGGACCATGTGAGCATTACTCTCTCTCTCTCTCTCTCTCTCTCTACTTTTTTTTTATGCTTTTTTAATCCGACGGATCTGGGCCGTTCTACCATCCAACTCCGGATGAAAATAAAAATCGATTTTTTAAGACGCCAGCTCTCCCCAAGAAGACGCGATGCCACAGTAGAATCGCCCGTCTTTTCTCCTATTTAATGGCCATCCATCCGCTTCGTTCCTCTCTTGCACGTATCCGACACTCTCTCACGTTGCGTTACGCTTCACATCAACGAATTCCCCGAGAAAACGAAGCGGATCGAGCAAATGGGTTTGAAGGTCGCCCTCCTCGAATTCTTATCTCTGTTTTTTATTTTCCTGCTTTTTTCTTAGTTGATGATCAGATCGTTCTTTCCTGTGTCGTTGTTGCGATTTGGAATCTGGGTGCTCTGGCTTGTGATGTGTTTGATTTACCCATTTCTCGGTGCGTCGTTCTTCATTTGGGCGCATCAGATCGGTGCTTTGTTTGAGCTAAAGTTTGGTTTTTTAAGAGATCATATCTCAATGCTTCGACTTGCTGAGAAACCCATGATGTGAAATTTTTTTCTTTTTCTCTTTTTACGAATTTTTGGGTTGATTTATCCTGGTTTTGTTCTTCTGGGTATCTGTTTTGTTTACCATGCGATTAGTAATCTTTTCTTATCTGTGAATATATAGCTTCTGTCTGATTGATTGTAAATAGCTGCTGCCAAAACTGCTCACTGAGCTCCTCTTTGTGCTTGGACACAGTGTACTTGAATTGGCGTAGTTTTTAGTTAAGTTGTCTAGTTATATTAGCTGATTTGCCTGGGCAAAGAAAATGAGGAAATTGAATTAAATTTTACTGGCTAGATTGGCCTTTTTCGCTTATAGCCTTTTCTACATGCAACATTTAAAGGGACATCCTATTGCTAAGGTGGAGCGGGATGATCCTTATGTATCAGTTTAGGCTCGTCCAGTGATGAATATGTACATTTTACACTTTCGAGATCTGCGTTCTTAAGCAACTGATCTCTTATATCTTCCCTCGCGCTCTGTAAATTTCAAAGGGAAAGCTGTTTCGCGAGTAATATTGTGCACTGGCATCTCCTATCCATGTGTTGCTTAAGATACTATTCTTCCTCAAAATATCAAGCGCTTTTATCTTTCTAATTTTTTGGTGACTATCCTCGAACGTTTGTTTTACTTTATTTCATTGATGTTGGTTTTCGAACTTCTTTAATCTACTTTGCAGACTTGTTAGTTGTTCTCTTCTTGCGTGCTTTTATAGAGCTTTGAGGATGTTGATGTGTACTTTTAGTGTTATCCTTGTTAGGGTCATGACTTACTTGGTTTACGCAGGAGGATTTCGAGGAACATGCTGAGAAAGCTAAGACCTTGCCGGAGAGTACAACCAATGAGAACAAGCTCATCCTCTATGGGCTCTTCAAGCAAGCCACAGTTGGACCAGTGAACACCAGTCAGTAATCACCCCCATCTAATGGGTTTAGGATTTGCAACTTGTTGCGCTTCAACACTTTGTTTCTCGACTAGGTCCATCTCCGAGATAACTAATGCCTTTTTCACGTAACTTGCAGGTCGCCCTGGAATGTTCAACATGAGGGATCGGGCGAAGTGGGATGCATGGAAGGCTGTTGAAGGTAGAAAAATAAAATAGTAGTTCTTATCTTGCAACTTCCATTTTTTAGATGATTCGTGTCGGTCTTTGCTATTTCTGACAGTGATCTTGTTGTTTGTTGGCAGGGAAATCAAAGGATGAAGCAATGAGTGATTACATCACAAAGGTGAAGCAGCTGTTGGAAGAAGCTGCTGCCTATGCTTGATGTCTGTGACTCCATCTTCCCTCTAAGGGCTTCATTGTTGCTGTGTTTGAAACTCGTACTCTAAGAATTAAGAACACTATGTGATCACTCTCTTTGGTACTTTTCAAAATTTCTTGTGTCCGAGCCAGTTTCATTATGTTCCTTGCACTTCACTTTTTGTGTGTCTTGCCCTTAGCAAGTTTTCGAAAACGGAAGGTCTATTCAGAAATTTCTGATCTGCAACTGTGAGCTATGCTGTGGAATGTGATGGATGTGTTGCTTGGGATATAGTGTTAGCGATGGTGAATGATACATAAAAGATTTCGCCGACGCCACAAATTTAGAGTAAAGTGGTAGCGCAAATGTAGCTCCATGTTTGAACATGGTGAATGTTGCATGACAGATGGCTCCATGTTTGAATATGGTGAATCCCTCGTCGCCAGTGTCACAGATTTAGAGCAAGTGATGGAGCAAATATGACTCCATGTATGAATGTTTGGTTTGAGTCATTCCAGTAGAATGACATTAGGAATGAGGCATAGCTTTATGGGAAAGAGATTTCAAGCTCTCTTTGTTTCATTTGATTAGGGAATGTGTTATTCACAATTGCAGAGGTTATAGCTGAAAGTATTTTCTCGGAAAGTGACTTTACATGATGACATCGCTGGTTGCTTCATATCCTGCAGATGTTTTTATTGCTGGAAGGAAAGTTGGGAAGGTTGTTGGCAGATGATGAGAACTTTGATGATGGGTAGTTGTTGAATTCTTAAGTTTTCAATTCCTTGTGGACCAGTGCGACGTGTTCGCTCGAAACCTTTTTGAGAGGATGTACCTTAATGTTCGCTTCCTAGGCTGTTTTGGAGGCTAATGAATGGCGGTAGGTGGTAAGGTCATGGCTCGTTAGCGCAAGCTATTAAACATAAGGATAGAAATGAATGATATCGCATCTTCTGGAAATGGACTTGTGATTGGGTTGGTAATTTGTGAAAGCGAGTCGCCTGGTGTGAAAGCAATCGTCATTTTCGCTTTGAAGTCACTCGGTATGAAAGCAATCGTCTTTTTCGCTTTGAAGGGACTAAGATAGTGTCAGGAAAAGACCCGGTTCGCGATGAGCGAGAGGAAAAGATTTGACTCTTGTGGAAGGTTTCATGTTCTGTACGTGTATAATCGTTAAATAAGTATCGAGCAGGCTTCCGAGAAGGCTGCACCCCACAAGGTTATGTTTCTGAGTTCTCGTCGTGAGTGTAGCTCGAGGCATACTCACCACAAGCAGCCGAATACAATCTGAAAGAAACAGACACAAATCGCATTTACACAATGGATATGGGGCGGTCCATGGCACTTACGTTCAGAGAGAGGCTCCTGAGAACTTCGTTTGTTATGGTTAAGGGTGGTTAATGAGGGTAAGTTCACTTATATGTGATCAATGACTGTCTATGGCCTAATGCTGCAAAAAGTTTCTTTGTAAATTCCTGAAAGTGAGTGGTTACTTGTAAATTGAACTGACAGTAGGCAGAGACTATAGACGACTTTGATTTTATTTCAATGAGACCAGGAACATTTAAGGGGAAATTACACATTGTGGCCTCCAAGCCACTTGCTTTTGTTGCCCAAAGCAAGCTCCTCCATGCACAAAGATTGACATGACATGACAAACAAGAAAAGGCAAGTTCGCCCATCTTTTTATCTGCAGAACTTTCACTCTCCCTAAGGTTTTTCACATTGGCAACTCACATCAAGCGAGCTAAGCAGGCAGGACTTGTTGCTCACTAGCATCCAGTTTCTTGGTCTTTTCCACCTCGAGGAGATACAATCTTTCCGCTTCCGGTATCGCCGATACGACCGACTGTAACTTGACATTGAGTTCTTGGATCTTTTCCATGAGCCGGTCGTTCGTGAACATGCCGATGCAGATGCTCTGGATAGTCTGCCAGCTCTCCATCACCGGCAGAGCAATGATAACCGCAGAGCCGATGGTTCCCCAAGCCATCGCAATGACCGCCCAGAATGTAAAATACCCTTTACTGAATTCCCCTGCAAACAAGCAAAGCAACAGGAAAGTTTCAGAAAAAGCAGACAAAATGTTGTGCGCAATATGTTAGGCAGTCCAAAGCCTAAGGAATTTAACTTACTTGCTGGGAGCGAGAGAACCGGCCACAACACGACGATGACGACAGTGAAACCGATGCCCCATCTCACGATCCATGCCTTCGCCCTATTCAGCTTCTCTTCCTTGAACTCCTCCGACGGCAGGTCAGTCTTATCTTTTTCAACCATCGTGATCTCCTTGGTAGTTTCCCAATCATAGTTTTGAGGCCACAGGAAGCTACAGATGGCATGGATGGCCCCGCCAGTAAGAACTGAGACGAGATTCCCCGCGAGCATCGGCGCATTTCTCCCAGTGGTTTCCAGATTCACCCGGCCATACTCAACGCTTGTGACCACCAACCAAGTTATGATTCCCAGGATGCACCCGGAGATCGTTCCGAGAATTGCGCCGAATGCGTTTGCCTTCCTCCAGAGGAGCATGAATGCGATGGGAAGGACAGCCGAGCCAACAATCACTCCCGTTGCGAGGTACATCCAGCCCAGTGAAACTCCAGCCTTGTTCAAGATCACCGCAAGCACTCCCATGAAGCACCCGAACCCGAGGATGATGCTCCTTGAAACTTGGAGGATTTTCTTTCCGCTTGCGTTTGGATTGATGTAAGTGCGGTAGATGTCATATGTGCATAATGAAGACACCGCTATTAGTTCGGAGGACCCGGCAGACGTCACAGCCCTGACACATAAGAACGGAGCAATTTTAAGTTCGCTATTTGATCTTAGTTCAATGCCGAAGTACCATCCTCTTTGCCCGACAAATGTGAATCAAATAATAAAATCGTCCTGTTTCATTTGTGTCTCTTACAGTTGACAGATGCAGAACTTACATGAAGAGCATAGTGAGAAGGAGGACAGCTCCTCCTTTCCCCATCAAAGCAATAGCTGTGGCTGGAGGAACAAGTCCATGGCTTGCTTCACTAGCTGTAATCGGCAAATCGAGCGCAAGTGCTCCTAGACCAAGGGATGTGGCCAGTGAGAATGGCACAGCGAACCACACTAGTCCGCCTAACAAATAGCCCTTGTGTGTCGATGAGGGTCTCGCGGCTATGGCGCTCACCCAGTATCCCTGCAATGTTTCAGTCAAAACATGGCATCGAAATTAATGAGAGGGAAGAAGTTATGCCCGCATATGGATGAACACATCATTCTCGGTGACGAAACCTTACGTTGTCAACAAAGACGGTACCAAAGTTGCCGACAATGTTGATGATACCGAACACAAGCCCTCCGGAGCTTAACATGGTCAAATAAGATCCGCCATAGTTCCCACTAACAGGACCACAAGATTGCCCGCTGTGCGATATTGGCTCCTGACAGGATCTTGATTTGCTCGCTACTTCCAAGAGATGTCTGTAAACCACGCTGGGGCTACCGAGCTCGCTGCTTGCCGTGTATACTAAGTAGACAAAGATTACTAAAACCACGTGCACTACAAGAGAAATCATCAGCCAATTAGCACCTGTGTTCCAAATCAGGAGAGATTACATGAAAATTTCATAGTTTTTTGGCAAAGTACCTATAACAGAATGTATATAGCTCGCTAAGAAGGTGGCTTTAAGGCCTCCAGCCAAAGTGTAGACGATCACTCCGAGGGGGATCAAGAAGCTAGCAGCATATATGTTCATTCCAGTCAGAGCATTTACGACTGCAGAGCCACCGAGAAGCAACATCGCGGTGACAATTATGTTCGTCATGAAGCAGAAGACGAGGAAAACAATATGCGCAGCAGTTCCCCAACTGAAATTCAAGCTTACTTAATTAGCATAAGAGACTTTGTCGCGACACGAGTTAAACCAAAAAATAAAAATGTAACGTCTTGGACCAGGTGATACATACCGAGCTCGCACGATTTCACAGACAGTGTGGGCATGAGGAGCTTTTCTTTTGATCTCTATAGCCATTATACCGAACAAGAGTACCTATTTGCAAGCACTTAGGAACTGAGCAGCGAGAAAGTTAAAAGTCAAAGAACACAAAGGAGCAATCGGATGGAAGTTGCGCGTACCTGGATCGTGGCACCGCTTGCATACCAGAACGGCCCGCTAACTCCATATTCCCAGGCGACATTGGAGCTTTGCAAGATTGTAGCGGCCCAGGTCCACTTCAAGAGTTCAACCCGAGAAATATAAGTTGTCAGCTGGAATTCTGTCCAATCAGCCTAACTAACAATGCAGAAGAAATACCTGAGAAACGATCACACTGGCTATTAATCCAGTTTTGACATTCCTTCCTGCAGTGTTGAACCATTCAGAAGTGTGGCGCGATCCGACATAACGCTTCTCCAGCCAGACCTGGCATCACAGGAAATTACTAGTCAGCAATCAGAATCACAATTAAGGTTCCATACTGTGCTGACGATTCATTCGATTTTGTAAGATAAGAATGAGCAGCTAGCGCCAGTCTGGGATGCTAGAGATGTAGAAATGCAGTTTTTCAACTAGAATGTGATAGCAAAGATAATTATACGTGTCCATTTTTCCCTCGAAGATGAGAATATTTGCTCTCTTATATTTATGTTTGAAATGATATATCTGCTAAGTAAATGCAAAGAGGACTCCACTACAGTGGTTCAGCCGTGTTACAGAAGCAAGATACTCTTTTCTCAACACAAACAAAATGAAAGGAGCAAGGCACTCCTACTGATTAAATTGATTGACTAGTATCTCATGAATATTGGATAGTGAATACAGGCTTGCCTGCACAATTTTTGTATAGTCAATCGATGGTATGGAATAGACCTGATTGCACTGATATTAAATCGGAACATGCAGCTATTCACGAAAGGAGTTATCATTGTTCATGATATTGATCGAGTTTTCAAAGTAAAATGATGACTACTCCCATAACCTTGGAAAGAAAATCGACAAGAAAATGACAAGAAAAGAGAAATATGTGATACATCTAAGACCCTGCTTGATCATCGGGTTAGATAGGATCATCAGATTATCAAGAGAGACTGCAGATTTCAAACTCTCCTTACAAATCTGAGGTTATCTGCATATTGTAACAATTCTATGTCAAAGTGTGCAACAAGTTCTTCAAAGATCAACT